GCACAACTGTTCTTGAGTAAGGATCCCAAAACATGGAAAGACGATGAAGTGTTTATCACAATGAGAGATCGTGCGATAAATATGAAGGTGGTGAATGACAGCGCAGAGAGGGCAATTGCTCTCATAGAGCGTTATAATGAGTCTATAACGCAAAATGAGGACCAAAAGCAGTACCTTTTACAGGTTGTTGCAGCTCATCGCAAGAAGTTACCAACGGCAAGCAAAGCTGCTATGATGAAGGGATACAAATAAAGAATGTGTATTGGTGTTCTAGAGTTATTTAGTTTGTAATTTGTAAAACTTATAATTGTATTTTGCTGAATAAAGGCAATGTGTTTATAATGTGTTTATCTAGCCCCGAAAAATCCTTATTACGTACTAAATGGAAAAAAAGAGGACATTGGATTGACCTCTAAATATGCTTTAAATGATCCAATTTTTTTCTGGGATGCATTTTGTACCTAATGGCCAAAAATAAACCTTGTGGAGAAAACGTATACAAATATGTGATATTTTGGACCACCCTAATATATATATATATATATATATATATATATATATATATATATATATATATATATATATATATATATATATATATATATATATATATATATATGTGTGTGTGTGTGTGTGTGTGTGTGTGTGTAAAACTATGCTATTGCAATAAAAAAGTATATTACATATTTAATTGTCGACTCGTTTGGTGATGCCCTTCACCTGAAAGTCTGAGGATGAGATACCTAATCTAATATACTATAGGACTAGGCGTCTGTCTGTCTGTTCTGGGCAGCCGAAACGGCACAATCGTTTTTCATCAAACTTGGTGGAAAAATCGCAAAAAAATTCGTAGAGTGGAACAAACCTGGTCCCATGTCGATGGTTTCTTTAGGAAGGCATTAATTAACGATTTTATTTACGTTGGCAAAAGATGTCGCTGTACGCTGTCTGCCGGCAGGACCATTGCAGTTATCGTACAGCTCCCTCCTCCTCCTCCCCCCACTTTTTCTCTTAGCCTATTTTTTTAATGTTGTTTGGATTATTAAGGAAGTAAGATGCGTAAATAGAAGAATAAAGAAGGGGAAACAGAAAATAGTTAGAGATAACAGGTGGGGGGAGCTGAGTTTCATCATGCGTCTGGAAGCGCAGTTTCAAGGTTACCAGAGTATTTTCGGACTTTACGAGGCTACAGTGTATACTTATTCCTGTGGCTGACTGTACATGGAAAAGGAAAAGAGATAAAAAGATAATAACAGGAATGCATGGAGAAAATAGAAAGAGGGAAGAGAAGGAGAAGAATCATTAATATCCTTAAGAGGCGAGCGAGGAAAGGAGATGGGAGAGAGGGATAGTGAGAGGTGGAGGTATGAATGGAGGGATGTGTTTTCTAAAGTTCCCAGAATACTATAATAAAATCACCTATTTAATAAGGAAGAAAAATTGCTAAATATGATGAGTAGTGTAATGGAGAGAGAGAGAGAGATATAAATAAAGATAGAGATAGTACGGATAAAAATGGAGAGAGAGAGAGAGAGAAGCGGACAAAGAAGAAATAATACAGACAGATTCAAGGACAGACAGAAAGACACACAGACTTATGAAAGACAAAGACAACTGACACATACATACAGGCAGATAGACATGACTACAGAGAGTGAATATAGACAGTGAAATAGACAGGAGGTTGACAAAAATAGACAGATTCATACATGCACAAATAGACAATATGGCAATTAACATGACAGACAGACAGACACACAGCTGACTGACTGGTTCACATAAGACAAACAGGCAGACACACGCCAACAACGGATAAGACAGACAGATTTGACGACGCAAAGAGTACAGACGGGCTTACAGTCAAACACCATGCAGACGAACAGACAGTTGGGATGGCAATAGACAGGACGGACAGACTTGAAACAGATTAGAAGGCATTTATAAACTAGAATAACACCAAATTGACCATAGCTGCGTCAGTGAGGGTAGGAGATCTTACATCCACCAGCGTAAATAATAAGACGCGTTGAAAACTAACATCCTTGCTCGGAAAGAACATCGATGGTCGGTCAGTCATGTGAGATGGGCTTAAAACTGACTAACGTAGATGATGACTATGATGACTTGACACAGGTGATGACTTAAGCAGATGGTGACTACTCTAATTAGAATCAAGGTCACTTCTCTTCATAATATAATTTATCTCGGAATGATCATCGGTGATTCATAATATTTGTTTTATGATTTTTAACCTCTCCTTATGGACGAATATTTCTTTAACTAATTATTCTAACCTTTATTCTATTCCTTCCTATAGTATACTAGATACTTACAGTACCTAGTAACCACGACCATGATTGTAACAACCATGACCATGATTATAACAACCAGGACCATCATTATAACAAGCACGACTATGATTATAGCAACCACGACAATGATTACAACAACCACGACCATGAATATAGCAACCACGACCAGGACTATAGCAACCGCAACCATGAATATTACAACCACGACCATGAATATAACAACCACGAGCCATGATTATAGCAACCACGACCATGATTATAACAACCAAGAACATGATTATAACAACCACGACCATGATTATAGCAACCACGACCATGATTATAACAACCATGACCATGATTATAACAACCACGACCATGATTATAACAACCAGGACCATGATTATAACAAGCACGACTATGATTATAGCAACCACGACAATGATTACAACAACCACGACCATGAATATAGCAACCACGACCATGATTATAGCAACCGCAACCATGAATATTACAACCACGACCATGAATATAACAACCACGAGCCATGATTATAGCAACCACGACCATGATTATAACAACCACGAACATGATTATAACAACCACGACCATGATTATAACAACCCGACCATTATTATAACAACCACGACCATGATTATAACAACCACGACCATGATTATAACAACCACGACCATGATTATAACAACCACGACTATGATTATAACAGCCACGACTATGATTATAACAACCACGACCATGAATGATTATGAACAACCACGACCATGATCAACCACGACCATGATTATAATAAACACGAAAAAGATTATAACAACCACGACCATGATTATAACAACACGACCCACGACCATGATTATAACAACCACGACCGTGATTATAACAACCACGACCATGATTATAACAACCAGACCATGATTATAACAAGCACGACTATGATTATATCAACCACGATCATGATTATAACAACCCCGACGAATATAGCAACCACGACCATGATTATAATAACCATGAACATGATTATAACAACCACATGATTATAACAACCCGACCATGATTATAACAACCACGACCATGATTATAACAACCACATGATTATAACAACCACCACCATGATTATAACAACCGCAACCATGAATACCAAAGCCACGAGCCATGATTATAAGCAACCACGACCATGATTATAACAACCACGACCATGATTATAACAACCACGACCAGATATAACAACCACGACTATGATTATAACAGCCACGACTATGATTATAACAATGATTATAACAACCACGACCATGATTATAACAACCACGACTATGATTATAACAGCCACGACTATGATTATAACACCCACGAATATGATTAAAACAACCACGACCATGATTATAACAACCACGACCATGATTATAACAACCACGACCATGATTATAACAACCACGACTATGATTATAACAGTCACGACTATGATTATAACAACCACGAATATGATTAAAACAACCACGACCATGATTACAACATCCACGACTATGATTATAACAACCACGACCATGATTATAACAACCACGACCAATTGAATTGTTGAATTGTAAAAGTTTATTTAGTCAGAAAACACAGAATACAGAGTGGATAATAATAACAATGTTAACATGGCTGAGCCAGTTGAGAACCTGAGCTCTCTTTGAGGCACCTGATATATACTATACATATATCTTAAGGAAGTATTATGTAACATTTAGTATCATCTGGAATAGTACAATAGCATGGTAGTAATAAGTACATCTCATAGTGTTACCACGGTTATCACTTCAATATTTATTTATTTTACTCTTTATTATATAATATTTTTTATTTTATTTATTTTTATTTTACTTTTTTTTACGAATATGATTATAAAACCACAACCATGATTATAACACTCACGACCTTGATTATAACAACCACGACTATGATTATAACAACCACGACCATGATTATAACAACCACGACTATGATTATAACAGCCACGACTATGATTATAACAGCCACGACTATGATTATAACAACCACGAACATGATTATATCAACCACGAAAATGATTATAACAACTACGACCATCTGGAAAACGATGTCGCTGTACGCTGTCAGCCGTTCGGCGGTCACGGTCTAGCCAAGCGTGAGCATTCGAACTTTCATGCTTCGGTAAACTGTACCACCGGACTCTCCACCAGGCACGATTGGCCCACGATCACTTGTGTGTTACTATGAACACTGTAATATGAGAACCATATTGTTGCTACAGGCCAGACAGACAGTGGAAGCAGCTCACAGAATACTAAGTTTCTGATAAACAAGGAGGCAGTGAGGTCGAGACAAACAACACTGCTTACTAAGAGAGAACGTTACCCACCTGTATCTTGAATGACTAAGAGCCATTTGAACCTAATGAACCAATAAGAACAACTTAAACTGTAGATGCCGTGGGTATGCACTTCTGCCCTTACAATTAACAATTACAATTGATGTCATCTAAAACCTATAAATCAGTGATGCAGTTTAATATGTTCCTCAGAAAAAATTATGAAACAATAACCAAAGGAATTTGTCGGATATCGTTGTCTATTATCGCTGTATCTTTCATTCTGCCTGTTTTCTCATCAGTAATGCCTCAAGTGCTTTAAATATGATATTTTCCTATCACATGCTGGTCTGGTGGTGGAGGGAGGAGATGAGAGCACTCGAGACAACACTACTACTGCTAATGGCTGTCACTGCCTCGCTGGCAGTAGTACGTCTTCCTCGCTCGTATGGTAAGTAGATACAGTTACTTCGTGTTTTCTTCTTTCCTTGTGGTTATCAGCATATATATATATATATATATATATATATTACCATTTCACAAAAATATCTCACACATTCCTTCACAACTAAAAACCTGGAACGTCAATGTGGCATTTAAAAACTCATGCACTGTTAAACAAAAGTTAATCAAGAACTCCCCCAACAACACAATTGGTTGCATTTATAAAGTTCCTTGCAAGGAATGTAATATGTTTTATTTAGGCCAGACAGGTAAAGATCTTGCAACTAGAATTAAACAACACAAATACAGTGTTAGGACAGGCCAGGAATCCAGTGCTCTGTTTGTTCATTTGAGGGATAACAAGCATCGTATTGACTGGGATAATGCCTCCTCACTATTACCTTGTAATTCAATTGATAGTAGGAACATCATAGAATCTAGTCTTATTAAACATACCGAAGCATTCAACATGAATTTAAGTAACGGCTTGTACAAACTGGACAATTTTGTAATTAATAAGATTTTTAACCAGGTGAGAAGGGCGGGTCACCTTACCATCTGACCTGACCACCAACCGTTGTGGACTATTTAAAGATTAGTAGGGTCATTACCCAATACCTGACCATTATGGACCTGGTCTCACTCTCCTCTGTATTCATACACCTTGTTTTGTACTTCTCTTTAGTCTGTACTCACCCCTGAAAATGTGAATTACACGAAAGCGCTTGGGAACTTCGTGTTTTCTTCTTTCCTTGTGGTTATCAGCATATATATATATATATATATATATATATATATATATATATATATATATATATATATATATATATATATATATATATATATATATATATATATATATATATATATGCTGATAACCACAAGGAAACAAGAAAACATGAAGTTCCCAAGCGCTTTCGTGGAAGTCTCATCTTCAGGGGTGAGTACAGACTATGGAGTAATACTTGACAAGGCTAATATATACTAGATAGCATTAACTTGCGTGCATAACCGATACATCTTTATATTTCTCTCTTTTTTTTTGGGGGGGGGGGTGGAATTCTAACTGACCATAAATGATCATGAATGGTATCATAATGCATATCATGAGTAACTTTACACTAAATCTCAGCTAACCTAACTCATATTAGGTATAATTTCGTGATTTTTATATTAAATAAAGCAAAATAAATATTAATAAATACTCCCTAATTTGCATTAATTTATAGAATTAATAAAGCAAAATTTTATCTTTTCGGCAGATCGTAAGTTTTTTTTAAGGCTTTATTTGCAATTATCTCTAGCGTGATACACACACACACACACACACACACACACAGGAGCCATAGACCCTCAGCAATTTGGTAATATGAAAACTTCCTCCACCACTCACTGTCTTGTCAGCTTTCTCGACTACATACAGTATACCGCCATCTCGAGAAACGAAAAACGTCTGTAGCTGTCGCCTTCATTGACTTCACTAAAGCATTCGACCTAGTCGATCACAATTTAATCATCAACAAAGCTATCGACCTCGGGTTTCGAAGAAGTCTTATACCATGGCTTACAGACTTCCTCAGTGACCGGCGTCAAGCTGTACGCTTTCGAGGGGCTGTCTCCACCTTTCAGTCACTCACCTGTGGAGTCCCCCAAGGCAACAAGATGGGACCACTATGCTTCCTTATGCTTATAAATGATGCCCTAAGAGAAACCCCTGCTCGCTGGAAATATGTCGACTACTCCACCATTGGGATCAGCGTCAACAATTCTGCTCCCGACTATACCGCCCTTCAGGATTTATTGAACAGTCTCCAAATCTGGGCCACCAGCAACCACGTCACCATCAACCATACCAAGACCATAGTTATGCACATCAACCTCTCCTCCGACGTTGTCCCACCCCCTTCCATTACTTTAGGTCCCAACACACTCCAGGTTGTAGAATCCACTAAGCTCCTCGGCGTCACCATGGACAAAAAAAAAAATTGGGAATCACACGTCAGTGAAGTTGTCAAATCCTCCAGTTTCCGTCTCCACCTCCTCCGCCAACTCAAATCCCTCGGAGTTCCTGCACCCAAGCTCCTAAGTGTTTACTCAACATTCATACTTCCCAATCTCACCTATGCCTCCCCTACCTGGTCTTCCTTCCTAAATGCCACACAACGTAAACACAAAGAAAAAGTGCAAAAGAGGGCATGCAAGATTATTCTCTCCCCTTCCTACTCCATATATCAAGAAGCGCTCAACACACTGACCCTCTCGGCTCTCACTGACCATTACCACGACCTCATCTGCAAATTTGGTGAGAAGCTTCTGCACCATCCTCGACACCGTCTCCTACTACCACCTGACATCCCTCGCCCGAGAAATGCTGTTCGACACCACAACCACATCCAGCCCATACGAGCACGAACTGATCGCTATAAGAACAGCCCAGTCCCCAACCATTGTAAAAAATATCAATAACTTGTAATAAACCAGTGTATTCACTCCCAGTAAATCTTACTTTTTGCATTGGTACTATGTTTAAATGCCCAGTAATTTGAGCTTTTCCCCACCTAGTTACTTATATCATATTTGTATCACTTATGTTACTTGTATATTATTTGTAAATCGAAACCCATTCCCCAATTATGTAACTGTATATTTTCAGCCTTCCGGCTGCTATGCTCTTTAATAAACCGTTAATTATTATTATTATTATTATTATTATTATTATTATTATTATTATTATTATTATTATTATTATTATTATTATTATTATTATTATTATTATTATTATTATTATTATTATTATAACACACACACACAGACGCACACACTACTTTGCTGTCACTCGGAATCAAGTATGATTATCATCCAGTTATGATACAATGATATGAGTTATTACGGATGTCACCTTCATTGGTGAATTCTGAGGTGACTAAAGAGGGCAATACGGGACCGGCATATATATTGCACGTGTGGAGGACTACATATTGTGTGGGATGGTCAGCGGCAGCGTTTTCGGACGTTGGTTCTTGTCTGCCTTGGTATGCAATCGGACTATCTCGAAAGTAATGACACTTTCTTGTGTGGGGCTCTTTCAGGCGTTACAGTGGGGAGTAATCGTCTCCCAGGTGAGGGGGTCGATTTGGCACTTTTTCGGGTTTGTCTTATGACAATCCTTATACTTTTTCAGTTGCCCGCCGGCGTTACGTTTATTATTCGTTAGGTGACTGTAAAGTAGCTGCTTTGGCAGACTACTGTCGTCCATGTGGGTAACATGGCTAGTCCAGCATAGTTGTTCATGGACAATGGTAGCCTCGATGCTTCTACAGTTGGTGTCAGCAAGATTACTGGCATATGTTCTCTTGTCTTCCAAGCGATCTCGGAGGATGGAAAGTAAACTACGTTGGCGAAAGTTTTCAAATGTCCTGAGGTTTCTCCTGTATGTGACCCATGTCTCGCTGCCATGTAGCAGGGTGGGGAAGACCACTGCTTGATATACGTGCAATTCTGTAGATAATTTCAGCTACCTACAGTTGAATACACGGGCTTGATATGAACATCTGATCCAATGATAAATTTCTTCATCGATGTCTGCAGTGGTGGACAGGTGGGAACCGAAATACTGAAAGTGGGTAACATTAGATAGGGTATTACGGTTAAGCTGGATGGATGGTGGAGGTGTGGGAAAACCAGGGGCAGGCTGAAAGGGAATGTGAGTCTTTTGTACATTCACCTCAAGGCCTAATTGTGCAACGTATATGCTTAGGTGTTCAGGATCTCCTGTAGGTTGTGTTCAGTGTGAGTTACAAGGGTAAGGTCGCCTGCATACTGAAGTTCAGTAATAGAAGCTGCCTACACTTTTGTTCCTGCCCGGAGTCGTCTTGTGTTGAAAAGACCCCTCATCCAGTACTTGATGTAATGAAGGCAGCCAAGAAAATGCAAAAGAGAGTTGGTGCCAGTAAACGTCTTTGTTTTCTCCCGTTTGGTTGGCTAAGAACTCAGACTGGGTGCCATTGTGCATGACACTGCCGCTCATGCCATTGTGAAATTGCCTCACAATGATGATGAATTTTGTGGGCAGTCAAAATTGCTGAGGGTGATTGGTGTCATATGGTGGTCTAAGGCCACATTGAGATTCTAGGAGGAAGTTTTCCGCCTCAGGAAGAATTCTGTTTTGGAGAACTCGAACAATAATCTTGCCAGCAACGGACAGCAGCGAGATCCAGCAGTAGGTGCCACAGTCTGCCCGGTCTCCCCTGTTCTTATAAATATTGACTATAGAGGCGTCTTTAAGAGCCTGTAGCATTTCCTCCTTTCTCCATATTTTCTCCAGGAGAGAGTGGAGACGGCTGGTAAGCAGACGTCCTCCTGCTTTGAACACCCCCGGCTGGGATTCCATCAGTCCGTGAGGCTTTGTTATTTTTCATCTGTCTGATGGCAGTAGCTACTTCATCTAGGGATGGAGGATAGCTGAGGTGGTTTAGCTCTGGATGCTGAGTCGCCTGCTGGGTAGTCAGGAAATCCACATCGGTGTTTCGGTTGAGCAGTGAATGGTAGTGCTCTTTCCAGCGCTGAAGGATGTCTTCTTTGTCTTTAATTAGGGAGCACTCAAACATACACACAACACACACACACACACACACACACACACACACAAGGAAACAATAATTCCACGAATAAATACATTCATAACATAATCATAGCATTATCATATAATAAATACTACACTACAATATAATTGCACTACTTTTAGTAATATTACTTTGATACAACATGATAAAAGGACAAACAATGTAAAATAAACAAACAAATGTAGGTACTTACCAAAAAGCTCTCCTATAACTGCATGTAGGAGGAGTAGAGGTGGTGGTGATAGGTGGTGAAGGTATTGGTGCTTCGATTATGCCTCGCTCGCTGTCTGCCAGCGCTCATGGGTAGTGACTAGTGAATGCATACAACTGTGTACTTTTTCCACAATTATGTCACTGTTTTCTTAACAAGTACACATATACTGCT